TAGCTTTTTTGTAATGAATACAAAAATAAAGTCAGTTAGTGCAGCTTTAATATATGGCTACATTACGCATTCTACAATTTCTGTAGAATGTTCATATTGATTTTTGGATGTAGGACAGATTAAGTAAGATTTTTACTAAAATGTGCAGGTTAAAAGGTTTGTATCGTGAGGTTCCAACCCCTTTTTTGGCTAGTTTCTATTTTGCCACAATGTTTTACCATTTTCAATAGGATAAGCTATGTTTAAAACAGCATTGAACCAGTATCATAATTTTCTCTTTTGAATTTTTATTCCTGAGAGATTTTACTGCTGATGCGCAGAGCAGCAAGACAGCTAGAGGCTAACCCCCATTTAGCTACATTTTAATTTGATTATTATATTTATATGTATATTTTGGAACTCAATACACACATTATTTTGAGTGTGTTCGCCGATGCGGAAGTACCGTTTAATAATAAAATAAACTTATTGCGCACCTTCGTGAAGACATACTGCTGTTATGTAAAGTCCGTAGAAGGTCTCTGAACACAGGCACGCTGCAAAGCTGTATTATTGGAGAAGATCTGTACACAAGAAGCCGCTAGCTAAACTCTTTTAGCATCAGAGCCCGCCGGCTACTTCCGCCACTTCCGGCGCGCGCCAGGACTTCTGGTCTGAAGACCCCTGCATCTGAAAACTAGAGAATGTGCGTTTCAGCGTTGGCAGTCAGAACCCAGCTAAATACTTTCCAGAATGTTTTAATTTTTTTTTTTGGTCAGCACTTTCTATTGTTTTTTTAGATTGTTTTAACTGGGACTGACTGTAACTTTACATTTCACAGCTGCAGGTGCCTTTTGTTTGTACACTTTAGAGTGCACAGGTCAGCAGCATTAAGTCCTGATGAGTATAAACACAGTGGCCGTGTCATTAGTGAACTTGCTGACAGAAAAGGCACCCTTCTAGTCTTTACTCAGCAGTCAGAAAGGAGTGCTCACAACATGGCTTCAATCAACACATGACTAATAATGGGCTATAATAATAGACTCTTTTTAAATGTCTAAATACACACCACATTTTAGTAGGGCAAAATATTTTTCTCTACAGTGGCTTGAAAAATCATTGATGAACATAGGAAATATTCAGGTGTCCTGCAGCAGGAACGCATCCATCCATATAAACAATATCGCAAGAATGGTTTTAGTTAAAGTTGTACACATACACAACTTTTGCACAAATTTTAGTTGACAACTATTTCACAAATCTGTTATCTGCGATTTATCAATTCGCGTTTTTTTCAGATATTTTTTGCATGTTTGAGGTCTTGAGGCTATTTGGTGTACAGATTTTACTTCTAATTTTTAATTTTGTCATCTCCCTTGTTCCTCCAAGCAACGGCACAGCAGTGACCCCTTTCCTGGGCCAAGAAAATCCAAACCCTGAATATTGCTATATTGGATAGCATGTATGCACTATTCTATGGCCTGGATTTTGCAATGCTGCTAAAATAGCTCATCCTGAAGCCATTAGACCAAATTGCTAAATGGTTCAAATGTGCAACCACTTAAAGCTATGTCTTTAAGAAGAATAATCTTCAATCTACTGTGGCAAGCAAGAAGATCATGAGGTGGAGTGGGAGCAGCAGCTGAGCAGGGCCCCTGAGAGCAGAATGGAGAAGAATGTAGTGAAACAGAAGGATCTTAAGAAATATTGTCGATTTCATAAGCAGCTTCTTTGTTTAACTTAGCTTTTTTCCCTGAGCAAACTGATGTATTTATGATTGTGCTGCTGGTTTCAGGAGGCTGTGAAGGATCACATTCATGGGAACATTGGACCCTGCAGTAGTTATTGAGGTTAATGGGAAGATTAAAAAACACATTTGCTCATGCTTATTCAGTCCACACCCTAGACTTAAACAGTCGTTAGTAAAAATTGTGAGTGTATTGTGAGTTGTATATATTGCATAAGCACTTTATGGCTATTGATCTAACGTGTTCATTCCCATCAACAAAGGAGACCACATACTTGCTGGAAAACTCAATTTCTTATCCATTCTCATGTACTGTATAACAATTGTACATTATTTGATGTAGAAGACACTCTGATAGGAGTGCATCAACACTGGTATTGGTATTGTATTCAGCAATTCAAGATACCTTCATTTCATCTGTACATATTTTGTGAATTACAAACTAAATCTATGTGCTTAAGAATTTTAGCTAATGAAAAGGGTTATAGTGTCCGAATTAAGTACACATTGGAAGATGAACACTCTATTTACATTGATGATACAACTGTGCATGTTTTAGCAGCTTAAGGATATAATAGCAGGTAAAGTGACAAGTGAGCTGTCAGTGGACGTTGAGAAAAAAACCTTAATGCATATTCAAAAGTAATATCCAACATTTAGATATATTTATTTGCCATTTGACAGTTCAGTTACAGTCGCTGAAATTACATGAAGGACATCAAGGATGCAATGTGAGAACACTATTAAGTCATTTTGAATAGTGTAAATAACTTAAATTAAATATCTTCCATTATCAATATAATTGTGAGCCAATGAAATAGATTTAGACTGTATGAGACAACTTGTATTCAGCTGTTTAGACTTCAGTACATTATTTCCAATCTCAGGAGTGCCCTAAAGTCCCTGCATCAGCAATTTGATCCGTCAGTAAGATCATTACAGACACTACTGATTTGACAAAAGGCCAGGATGAAAGATCCAAGCATAATTAAAGACAGGGTCTTGTCCTTGACTGTCCCGTAAGCCAGACTGAAAGCTCAGTGGTGGAAAAAGGACAACAAGACATGCAGAGGTCGGAGGAATTACTATTGCTACATCTGTTTGTTTCAAAATACAGCTGTTTCATGAAATTGTTGTGTGTTTGGATGGACACAAGGAACAGCTGTTCATGTAAAAAGATACATTTTTGTTACTACTGCCATCTAATGTTTAGATTTGGTTTGTTTTAGCTTTGTTATAATGCAAGCTCCCATTTAACAAGAAATTCTCATAATTCAATTGTGTAGTTTCAACAGCTCTAGTCCAGTGTTTGAGTAATGCTGTTTTTATTTCATTTCTACATACTAAAATGTAATGAATGTGAGAATGTAATGTATATCATATAGAGGTAGTTTTACAAAGCCCTTAGTTAACGACAGACATTACTCCCTCGCGTATGACAAACTGAGAACTTGACCCGAACTGCAGGAAAAAGTCCATGAGCCAGCTGAGTGATGGCGCCGATAAGACATTTTCAAGGTAACTGCAGAAAAAGTGAATTTTCTGTGAGAAAGTGGCAGCAGAAGCAGAAGTTTGTTTATTTTATTGAGCACAGGAGTGTCTCTCATGTTCTTTAACGCTCATTTAGAGTTCACATGGTTTGTCATTTACCCATGATGGATATAGTAATGATGCATTCATGCAATCAGGTCACGTCTGTTTTGTCTCTTTAAGAAGGCTTGCTATCTTGTTGACAATAGTCAGGTTGAGATTAGTCTTGACTTTTTTGCAGTGTTATTTAAAAAAGGGCCTATGGAGAATGTCTTTTTGTGAAAATTGTGCTATAAAGAAAAGTGGAACACAGAATTTCCAGGGTACTGTGAATACGCCATGTTGTGATAAGCTTCGCAGTCTTTAATGTTTTGCAAAATAAGCAGGAACATGCTTATTTTTTTGATTTGTATGACGGCCTGCTTTTACTAACATTGTTTAAAAAACAAAAAACAAAACAGTGTTACAGTGATATATTGGGTGCTGCTTAATACATCCTATGTATCCCAGAATTATCGCTGGAAAAGTCTAAATAAAGGGAAATGGATTACGAGAGTCTACTATTGTTGCTTACTACTACACTGTGTGGAGTGACTGTATGATGAACATAAAATGGTAGCGTGTATTTAACACTTTTTCATCCAGACCACATAAAAAATGTATTCAATTAGTTTTGGAGATTTGGTTAAATTACCCTACTGATTTCTGATTACTTATATATTGTACTTACTTTAATATTGGTTACAAAGTACTATTTTGTACACCAACAAAATGTTTTATTGAATGTCTTATCTAAAATATATCCCTTTCTACTAAATACATACAAGATTATTTAACTAGGTTTTCTGACTTCCTGAGAATGGTAAGTCAGAAAAAGTCTGAAAAGGTTCTTGGTTGGAAGATTTATGTTTTCTGTGGTAGCGGTTACATGGTGGGGTTTTATTAGTTCGTTTTTATTTATTTTTTGTGAAAATTTTCAACTTAGAACAGGGGAAAGGCCTGTGTAGTTATAATTTATCATAAAATATTGCCAGTATACATTTGTGTATAAAAATGTGAATACATCACACAATTCTGATGCACTGGGCACACTGCATGATGTAAAACAGAAAATCAAGACAAATGTATGCATCTTTTTCTAACTGGCTGATAAAAAAGATAGCAGTGTATGAACATTTCATCCAAACTTACATATTTACTGTATTCATTGGATGATGCCAACAAACCAGGACCTGCACTGGGACGTTTTGCAGTCAAGTGTGAAATGGCTGGGATGAGAATCATTACATAATGCTCACAACTTCTTGTATTGCTTATCCAGCCCACTCTGCACATGGGATTTTGCCTATGCATATTACTCTGCTTCGCATCAATCAAATTGACATCTGGAGAATTGTGGAAATTGTATTTATCAACTGGATAAGAAACAAAACAACGTCATGCCATACACTTTTTTTTTTTTTTTTTTTTTTTACAAATGAAGCAATGTCTTTGTTTAATCCTTACAGTTTATTTTAGAGTCACATGTATTTTTTCTGTGACTCTCATTTGGACTGTTTTCTTTCCACCTCTCTTCCTGCCTTTTGCTGTTACTGTACCCACAGCCACAGTGAACCTTTACGATGTGAGTTTAGGCTGTCATCTGCAAACTACTGCATACACACAAAAACAGCAATACCAGAGTAGAGAGAGGGAGAGGGGGTGCTTTCCGTAGGCCACGGTCTGTTTCCAGTCACAGCTGCCCATGTCCTTCCTGAGCCCTGAAGCTCCTGTGGCAGCATTGCCCCAGGACAGTGGGTCAAAGCAGTGTACATCTGTGCACTATCGTAGCACAAGCTGAAAAGCACAAAGGGGTTTACTTTAGTATCAGCCAGGTATTTTTTTTCAATAATGCATGCCATGTTCTCTTCATACACCCAGGCAGCCTATATGGCTGTTGTGTGCAGACCAGCAGAGCACCTGTCGGGCTATAGCCTGCTCCAGGACACCTTTAAGTCATGAGCTCATCGGAAAAGCAATTAAATCCGGCATAGGCTCTGCACACTGGCGTAATGTTTTGTTTAGCTACTTGGCTTCAAAATTAACCAAACCTGTCACAAGTCATCTGGCTGATGTGAGTTGGGTTCTATTTATTTATTTTCAGTTTCTGTTGGTCCCACTGCTGCTCCATGGCCAACAATGAAGTGATTCTGAGGGGGCGATTAACTGGCTATAACATCTGCCCACCTTGGGGGTAGACTTGCTCACCCCATGCCTCTCTTGGCCTGTCTTTGGCTGTGATTGTTGGGTCACGACCTTGTAGTTGAAGGTGATGCCCTTTCTAACCCCAATCAAGACTTTGGTGTTTAACTGGGGTTTTGAACTGGCTCTGACCTAGCCGCTCCCAGTTTATTAACTTACATGCTTGAGTTAATATAACAATAGCAGGGTTTATACACGTAAGACAAAAGGTGTGTGGAGTGGAGTGGCCCTATGCTAAAATGTCAACAAGGTTTGCAATTCTGGTGTATGTATCTTACAGCTTAAGCCCGACTCGATGTATTTATTCATAGATAATTATTGTAAACAGTACTTGATCATTGATTAACTGATCATATCATGGTTTTACTTTGTCTCCAAACTCAAACATGAATGCGACCTTTGTGAAGAACATTGCCAAGTGCACATGTCTGATCAAATTCCTTCTCTTTCTGCGGTTGCATGTATTTTCACAGTCAGGGCCACTGAGCAGTCTTTTTGTGTTTACTCGAGGAATCATTTAGGAAGTAAGAAAAACACCTCTGTTATCATTGCCATCACATGCTGTAATTACCCAAAAGCTGGTGGTTCAAGCAGAGAAAACAGTCTGCTGCTGCCGAGGTCGTCCTGTAGTCATACCAGGCAGGTTCATGGTGCAGCCCGCTTCAAAGGAGGTGTCACTCTTAAGCGGTTATGTCAACATGCTGATGAAACGGGAACACACAGAGTGGATGGTAGAGCCTTCAAAGACTCAAAGGCAGGTCAACACATACTTTGTTTCTGTGTCACTGTCAAAACAGCAGACAGGAGGAAGAGGGAATACAAGCATGTTTGTACAGTTAAATTCAGAAGAAGGCATCTTGTATGAGATTTGATGTCAGCCATCAGTTTTTCATGGCTGTTTGTGGCAGTTGTCAAACAATTGGATGGTATGACCTAAAACTGCTTTGCCATGGATTCAGAAATGTTCTTATTTTGAAGAATATAATTGGCTTAATCAACATGTGAACTGCCTCATTGATTTTGCATCATTTCGTACCTGTTTTGCAACGTAACTTACACGTTTTCTCCACATTCTGTTTTATTACTTTGACCTTTACCAGTGTGGTATTGCTGCATTTTGAACAGTCTCTATCCTGATCCTACAAGACTGTTGTGTAATTTAGCTGTAGAGTAAAGGAAAGGAACAATGGAGTTGATGCTGGTTCTGGGCCTATGTCCAGAACAACTTGAACAACTTCAGCTCATTCCCAGTCATTTGTGTTCTGTATTCTCACACTGTTTGGGGCGGAAACCACTTGAAGTCTTGCATCAGTGCAAGCTCCAGGCGAATCTTATTAAGCAGCCACACTGTGGTGCAGGAGTTCAAGCCACAAAATTGAGGTTATGATTCAATGTCAGAAAACACTTTTCTGCAGCACAGTGGAGAGGTAGTGCATTCATACTGTACTTTTTGGTCTGGTTCACTTTAACTGAAGCAAGTCTGGTTCTACTTGCATGGCTTTTTATAGTTAAAATCATGATTTATTCAACTGTTTTTTTTTCTGTCAGTGACACAATATTATATCTATCGAATTTGTTATAGTGACTAAAATACCTGCCCCAGACAGACCAGTGTGATAGAAAAGAGAATTCACTTATGGCGGTTGCTTAAAAAGTACGAGGTTTTTTAAGAGTTAAAGACATAGCAGGCTTCTTCTGTGGACTAACTACACACATTTACAGATTGTTATACAGTCTTGCATTGCAAGAGGTCTTGAAACCAAAGCCAGGGGTTGAGTCCAAAGCTGCATTAAAGTGCTCAAAGTCCTTGTAGAGCTGAAACATCCTCCTGTCGTCATGCTGGGACGCTCCACGGCACGCCAGAGCCTATGCAATAATCCTGACGGCATGGGACTCATTATTGATAGGATCCTAATGCATTACCTCAGGGCCTGCTTATTGTTGGTGCAGATTATTATTTGAGCGTAAACCGAAACCTAAATAATGGCTAGTGTTTCATAGAAATGTATCAATGTTGTTTTTGGCTTAGCATGATGAACTCTTCCTTCGCAAATGAAACAAACTGCAGTCCTTGCTTTCTGGTTTTCATACCACACTAACACTTTCTGAATTGCTCTAATCTAACAGTCATTTCTTGTAGATTTAAAATAGCCTCACCAAACTGTGGGGTTGTTTTTCTACATTCAGGAAAATTTTGTCATGGACTACTTTTAACAGCGGCTCACATGTCGCATGGGGTCCATTTTTAGTTTTCCTGTTGTTCTCCCAACTGACTATGTTGTGAGCTGAAAATAATCTATACGTTATGTCAAACCTCTATATGTTAAGATTTTAAGATATGCTTAATATGTAAATACATTGTTTTCATTATGCTTTCACAGGTGCAGTGCTGCTCGTTAGTGTCCAGGGCATAGCTGTTAATGTGGACCCAGTTTTCTGCACTTGGCTCCTTTACAATCCTAACCGAGGGAGCAGCAGACAGCAACAAACGGTAACAATATTTTAATTTAGCTACATTTTTTTCATAATACAGTTTCATGTCTAATCTGTATATACGTAGCTGTAAAGTACATCTGTCTATGCTTGTTTTTTCTTCTGCTCTCTAATTCCCATCTAGTCCCACTGTAATATTATGAGATGTATTAATGCCAATGGATATTGATTGGTGTGTAACATAAACTTGTACGCATGTTCACTTTTGATTGCCTGGGATATTGTATAGGTTATCCCTATAAATATAGACGACCTTTAATATCATACTATATGTTATGATTTTTATATCTACAGTGTAAACACATGTTGAGTCCCAATGAGAATGATGTCCACACACAAACACACACAAATAAATGTATTGCTCTAAGGTTGTCTTCTGTACTTCAGCTGTCTGTCATGGTCCTATCTCGAGGCCTTGGCAGTTTATCCTTGGCCTTGAGCTGAGGGACACCTGCAGCTTGCGAAGGACATAGGAAAAGACTCGGGATCAAGGTGGTAGAAAATATTTAGTAAGTTCATTATGTCCAGGGCAAAGCATGGTCTTCCCAGCATAACAGAAATAGATTTAAATGAATCCCCTATATAAACGTTAAAGCAACATTTGAATGGTACATAGTCACTCTGAGCATGTGTTTGTGCTTGCGCCTGTAGGACAACTAATGCAAATTAGTCCAGGCTACAGTCTGCAGAGCTGTCATGCGATGTCCCAACCAAATAAACAATATTAGATAAAAAAATAGATAACATATGTATAACTTTAAGGAATAGGCCACCGTTTTTAAATACTGACATATGTTCTTACCTTACCTTAGACTAGTTGATACCTGTGGACAGTACCTGTCTGGTCTTTCTCTCTTGGGCGGCACGGTGGCTGAGTGGATAGCACTCTCGCCTCTCAGCAAGAAGGTCCTGGGTTCGAATCCCGGCCGGACCAGGGCCTTTCTGAGTGGAGTTTGCATGTTCTCCCCGTGTCTGCGTAGGTTTCCTCCGGGTACTCTGGTTTCCCCTACCACTAAAAATATGTACAATAGGTCTGGCATGCGCCTCCTGTTCGGCGACCCCGCTCCCATCTCTGTGTGGAGTGAGAGACAAATGCCCAAAAAAAAAAAAAAAAAAAACTAACAATTGTAAACCGCTTTGTGACTCTGGTCTGTGAAAGGCGGTATATAAATAAAGCTTACTTACTTACTTACTTTGTCCGTGCGCTCCGTCATGCAAATGGAACACAAATGCAGCCTCTTCCACATTCTGTATAGTAACAAATCAGCTCCCGTTAGAAGCTACCAAACTCTTCCACGTTTTCCCTATTTAAATACAGTTACGTGACGTGTTACACTACAAAGTATAGTAACACAGAAATGAAACATGTCTATTTTCTCAGCGGATAAAAAGGGGTACTATATATTACTTCCTTCAATAGAAGCAGCGTGAGCGGGAGAGAAGTATTTAGGAGTTATTGCGCGGACGTAGTGCTCCTCGTATTATCACGCCTCACAATATAGTACCCCTTTTTATCCGCTGAGAAAATCGACATGTTTCATTTCTGTGTTACTATACTTTGTAGTGTAACACGTCACGTAACTGTATTTACAGTAAATAGGGAAAACGTGAAAGAGTTTGGTAGGTTCTAACGGGAGCTGATTTGGAACTATACAGTATGTGGAAGAGGCTGCATTTGTGCTCCATTTGCATGACAGAGCGCACGTACAAAGACCAGACAGGTACATATCAACTATTCTAAGGTAAGGTAAGAACATATGTCAGTATGTAAAAATGGTGGCCTATTCCTTTAAGGATTTTCAGCGCTGCCCTGTGAAGAGCCTTGTTCTCACAAAAACATATTTTAATCTTAAAATTCTGAAATACTATCTCATGTTTAGACTTTATCACGTGCATTATAGCCGCCATAGTCTAGTTGTTCGTGCATCATAAAATCAAAACTATAAAACAAGACCAATAAGTCAGTACAGCAAAAGTTAACACTTACATCGCATGAGGCAATGAATTCACAATAGCATCATCCTTTTCCTTCCTATATCAAATGGATCCAGTTTGCAATGTTTATAGCAGAAGATAATCTGTTCTAGCTTTGATAACTTTTTATTTAACTTTTTTCTTTTCCAAACATTTAAAATCTCTTATGTATTAAAAGTATTTGTTGTTCTTGTATGAAATAATACAGGTGGACCTTGTTCATTTTCATCAATATTAATTTTAGTAGTGGTCTTGTTTTGAATTTCTTGATACAGCCACTGAACTTTTGGGTGCCAGATGTTCAGTAAAATATAATTAAAAAAGTTAATATCACAGTGTTACAAGCCATACAAGAATTTTTGGGGGGTGAGAATAAAGCTTTCCGTCCCTGCGGTTATATCTGCAAAGACTAATTTAATTTGGAAGTCATTATAATCTGGCGTTGTCAAAGTGTTGTAGTTTAAGGTTGGCCCTGTACTGCTGGTGTTCTTGTGGCGGATGAGTGATAATGAGGGCATAATCAGTTTAGGAACAGAGAATCAAACAGTCAAAATGTTCAGGGTGGTATAAATGGCGGAGCGTGTCTGTATCTGCGTGTACGTTTAGGGGAGACTGCATTGTCAGATCTGCTCCATCTCAGTTCCTCATACCAGATCAAGGTCTTCTATTACAGTATGTCTGTTAACAATCACCCGGTCTGCCTATGTGTTTGTATATAAGTGCATGTGCGCGGTTGTGTGTCTAACCTTCAGTTTTGGGACTCTCTCAAATAAAAACACTGAGCTGTCACTGGTCCTTGTTTCTCTTGGAAGCCTCAGTTGTGTTTCACCACATTTTTCTGTACTTTCTTTTCTGTCTGTTTGTCCTGCCTTGTTAAGCTGGACACATCAATCCACGTTTGAATGTGTTTGCAATGTGATCCTTGAAAAGAAATGTCTCCCAAAGTTCTTCATATGACGTTTATACACCATTATTCCCAACTTTGTAAATCCCATTTACACTATATACTCTAGAGACTTTGTTTTACTCAATACTGCTCTATATGCATTATGTTTCTTTGCAGACTTCTGGACCAATACCTTTGATGAAGAGGAGAGATGATGAAGTCTCTGTTGGGAGTACACCTCTGGCCAAGCACACCTCGAATCAAGCGTCAGATTATGCTAGTAGTCCAATTAAAACCAAAACTGTCACAGGTATGTTTTGTTCTGTCAATTTCTTGCTTGTTCATTTTGGTTGACAATCAATATGGCACCGATACAAACATAAGACAGCAACCTAAATTTGGGTTAGATTTCTTGCATGCATATTGTAAGTAAGTAATACCGGACAGGGTCTTTCTTTGTGGAGTTTGCAAGGTTTGCAAGATGTTACATGCAAGTCTGCAACATCTTTGATCTTTGCTTTGTGAATGTGAATAATGCCTATAGTGTAGTGGTATTGCCTCCCCTCGGCAAGTCTGATCACAATCTGATTAATCCAAGGCCCATATATAGGCCAAATGTGATGAGAATGCCCATAGTCCGTAGATCTTTCAGGCAATGTGGCCAACAGTGGCCAGTGACGCTCTGATGGACTGCTTTGTGACTACCGACTGGAATATACTTCTGGGCTCAGTGGAAGACATTAACAAGGCTGTGGACAGTGTTACGGACTACATCTGCTTCTGTACCAATGTCGCCGTGCCAAAGAAAACAGGCCGCTGTTTACCAAATAACAAACCTTGGATCACAAGTGACAACAAACACACTTTGAACCTAAAGAAACAGGCTTTTAAGGCAGGTGACAGGAACCAGGTGAGAACTATCCAACAGGACGTGAAGAGGACATAGAGACTGGCAAGGACGGAGTACAAGAATGGTCTGGAGGAGAAACTGCAGAATAACGACCCCTGGAAGTGTGGAAGGGCATGAGGGCCATTACTGGATACAAAGAGAAGGGCATTGAGGTGGCTGGGAATACTGATATGTTTAACCACTTTTACAACCGGTTCGACTCTTCCCCTGTCCACGCTGATTCTGATGTGACCTGTCCTGCTCCTCCCGACGGCTACACCACCTCTGCTGCTGCGTCCTTCTTCACCGTGGAGGATGTTCGGGTGGAGCTAAAGAAGCACCAGGGGAGCAAGTTTGCTGGGCCTGATAGCCCAAGGCTCTTGAAGGAATGTGCAGTGGAGTTAGATGAGCCTCTCCATACCATCTTTAACAAGAGTCGTCAGAATAGATGTGTCCCTGCCTGCTGGAAAACCTCCTGCCTGGTACCCGTCCCCAAGGTAGCAAGGCTAACAGGATGCAAGGACTACAGACCAGTGGCACTAACATCTGTCATAATTAAGACTTTTGAGAGGTTAGTACTCCTACTGCTCATACCACAGGTTGAGCAGGCTCTTGACCCCCTGCAGTTTGCCTATCAGGAGAACATGGGAGTGGATGACACAGTCCTCTACATGCTCCATCGGCCAGTGTCCTTCCTGGATGGCCCTGGAGGCTATGTGAGGCTAATGTTCTTCGACTTCTCCAGCGCGTTCAACACCAACCAACCTCTCTTACTGAGGGAGAAACTGGAAAAGATCGGAGTTGATCCCATCTTTACCAACTGGATTTACAATTACCTCAATGTGCGGTCACAGTATGTCAGGTTAGGGAAGAGCGTGTCTGGGACTGTTGTGAGCAATACAGGAGCACCACAGGGTACTGTTCTGGCTCCCTTCCTCTTCTTACTTTACACTGCAGACTTTGCGCTCAACTCTGCTACATGCCATGTACAAAAATACTCGGACAATATCGCTGTTGTGGCATGTGTGAAGGGGGTGGATGAAGCAAAGTACAGGGAGGGAGTGGCTGCCTGTGAGCAGTCAGATGTTGCACATATTTTACCAGTCTGTTATAGCTAGTGCTGTCTTCTTTGGGGTCTAGTGTTGGGGCGACAGTCTGACCTCGAGGGACAGTAATCGGCTCGACAGGCTGATCATGAAATATGTTTTTGTGATGGGGAGAAGTGTGGACTCTGTGGGAGCTGTGCTGGAGAGAAGGATGAGGGCTCTCTAAGGATGTACTACCCACTAGATTTCTAAAGTCTGTTCTGAGCAGTCTGTTACCTTCACTCACACAGATAGTAAACATGTCCCTTCATTCTGGAATATTCCCAAAGGCCCTGAAAACTGCAGTCATCAGGCCCCTGCTTAAAAAGAGCAGTCTGGATGCTACGGTACTGAACAACTACCGTCCCATCTCAAATCTGCCATTTATGGGGAAAGTCCTTGAAAAAGTTGTCTACCAACAGCTAAATAGATTTCTTATAATCAACAACTCATTTGATATGTTTCAGTCCGGCTTTAGACCCCACCACAGCACTGAGACTGCTCTCGTCAAGGTTACAAACGATATCCGGCTAAGCACTGACGCAGGCAAAGTCTCAATCCTAATCCTGTTAGATCTGAGTGCTGCCTTTGACACTGTCGACCATGAGATCCTCTTACAGAGACTAGAGGACTGGGTTGGCGTCGCTGGCACCGCCCTAAGTTGGTTTAGGTCTTACCTTGAAGACAGGAAGTACTTTGTGGAGATTGGAAACTGTGTCTCAGATCATATGGCCCTGACCTGTGGAGTACCACAGGGGTCGATCCTGGGACCTCTTCTTTTCAATCTCTACATGCTGCCGTTAGGTCAGTTAATACGCAGAAACGAAGTTTCCTATCATAACTATGCAGATGACACTCAGATCTATGTCTCACTGACTGCAGGAGAACATGGACCAGTGGACTCACTCCTTCACTGTATCCAACAGATCAGTGAGTGGATGCAAAACAACTTCCTTCAGCTAAACGCAGACAAAACTGAAATGATTGTCTTTGGTCCCCAGAAACAAAGAGAGAGCGTCATCTGTCATCTACAGTCTCTCTCCCTAAAACCTTCAAACAAGGTCAGAAATCTAGGGGTAATACTGGACTCAGACTTAAATTTTAATAGCCACATCAAATCAGTAACATCAGCAGCTTTTTACCATCTAAAAAACATTTCCAGGATCAAAAACATAGTGTCTAAAGCAGACTTGGAGATTCTTATCCATGCATTTGTCTCCAGTAGGTTAGACTACTGCAATGGCCTGCTCACAGGTCTGTCCAAACAGGCTGTAAAACAGCTGCAGTACATTCAAAATGCAGCAGCTCGAGTCCTGACTAGAACCAGGAAGTACGACCATATTAGTCCGGTCCTCAGGTCTCTGCACTGGCTTCCTGTGGCTCAGAGAATAGACTTTAAAACAGCTTTGCTTGTGTACAAGTCTCTCCATGGCCTCGCACCAAAATATATTAGTGACATGTTAGTCCCATATGAACCAGCCCGCACTCTGAGGAGCACAGGGACTGGACTCCTGTTAGTGCCCAGAGTCAGAACTAAACATGGGGAGGCTGCTTTTCAGATTCATGCTGCTAAAATCTGGATCATTCTTCCTGAAGATGTGAGACAGGCCTCCTCTCTGACTATGTTTAAAACCAAGTTAAAAACTGTGCTGTTTAGCTGTGCATACAACTGAGGGATTTTATATTTTTATCTTTCTTTTTAATGTTCTGTGATTATTTATGATTTTAATGCTATCTTGTTCAGCACTTTGAGTTGCCTTGTGTATGAATTGTGCTATACAAATAAACTTGCCTTGCCTTGCCTTGCCTTGCCTAATGCAGGGCATCCTGGGTAACTCCAGACACCCTCTGCATGACACTATGGTAATCGTAGCAACAGACTTATATCACAGCGCTGCCAAACGGAACGTTTCACGAGATCCTTTGTTCCTTCGGCTGTAAGACTGTACAGACCCGGATGTGTCCTCTGCTGTTGGACACCTGAATTTCTTCTACGGAGATAAAGAGAGTATCTATCTATCTATCTAGTGCCCCTCGAGTGGCTCCAGTAGCCTCTTCAAAAATTGGGCATATTGGGTATATTCTATGGGTGTGATTTATTTTTAGTTTTAATGTGGTTTCTGTAGGAGGAAAAACATTCTTAATGTTTTCCAATGCTGTAAAGATGCGCATAAGAAATATTCAATATCAACATTTTGTGGTAACAAAAACGGCCGTGTGGCACATGAGTACGCATGGACCCCAAAGCTAAAACGAGAGACAACCGAGAATTCAAGGAAGAATGGACTGAAACATTTCCTTTCATTGCTAATGAGGAAGTACTCCTTTATGTTTACGTTGTAATGAGAAGATGCCGAAGAACAAAAAGGGACATTACTTCATCTCCAGCGAAGTCCAGCCTGTGACTACGTGTGTCGTGATCGATAAGAACAGACAGTTCTGTAATGCAGGTATGTGAACTCTGATTCAAAAAGCAGATTCATTTACTGTATTTCTACAATTGCATGACCCCTGGACTAAACTCGTGGCTGAAATTTAGTGAATGCACGTCCATCAGTCAGTGCAACGATGCGTCAGCGGTGGGAATGCAACGTCTGGCATGGGCCTCTGTATGGTGACCCCACTCCCATCTCTGTGTGGAGTAAGAGGTGGTAATGGTAAAATCTGTAAATTATAGCTATATAAATAATAAGTAACTGACTTACTTACATAAAATTAATTATATACCGCCTCAAGCAGCAATGAAAGGCTCTCACTTTCACCAAACTGGGCCACACAAATGCCCTTGTGGGTGTGGGTTTTAGTTTCTTATTTGTGGCAAAGGTAGAAATGTGCTCCTCTTTCTGTATTTCTTTTGTGGTCAAATTGGCACTGTTTAGAACATGACACGCAGCTCTACTGTTAAGAACACACTGTTAAATCATTAAGGGAATGAAATGTCTGATAAGTTCCGTGCAAAACCACTCTTACTGGTATATTTCGCAAAAATAAATGATCTGTTTATTGCTCCTCTGAGATTTGGTACAGTGATTTTAAAAGTAGCCCAGTGCCTGTATTTCTAGCTGGGGGATGATTTCAGCAGCCCTGCTTTTTAGGAGCTGTCCATGAAAGTGCACAGAGCTTTACTGGCTGCATGAAAGATCTGGATAACATTTGTATGCAAATGCCATGTAAGAGAGAGAAATCCTGATTTGCCATATAATAATGTTAATAATAATAATAATGTTAATACAAAAGAATATTCAAAATGCAATACTAAATAATTTTGCTAAATATTTAAACAAATATTTTGTTAATACCTTAGCACCAACACATGTGCAGATTCTGTGGAGTAAGCTATTTAGTTCACTACTTTGTTGATTTCTCCATGGAATTCTAAAAGATTGAGCTTGTTGTATTACTCTTTATTTGAAACACTTCTAACAACTTACTACTACGCATTTATCCTTGTTTGCCTCAAAGCTACATTATGTGCCTCAAACTTTACATTACTTGGCCTGAACTTTTGATACTCATAAAAAGCCTGCAGCCCACCGACCATGCTCTATAAAGAAGCCAATTAAGATCTGAAGTTTGTGAAATTCCACTGCTTGTGTTGGATCAATCTGTCATTTCCAGATATGTCTTTGATTTGTCACTCACATTAATTGGCTGTAGTCAGCCTTTTCTTATCCTTAACTAGAATTTGTAACTGAAAATGGTGCAGCGGTGCCAATATTTTTAGTCCTGGCTGTTGCTCACTTGTTGGCTCCAAACATTTAAAATTATTGTTTTCAACTCACACCTGATGAAGTGCCTTATTGCTGCAAGGGTCTGTCTGAAAGCTCTCAAAATTGCGCTTGGTGCAATTAGTCTCTGACTGAATTTGCTGCCGTTGATCACCTCTAGAGCAAAGGTCACCAACCTTTTTAAAGCAGAGGGCTACTTCAAGATTACCAAATGGCTGGAGGGCTACTATATATTGTTGAATCAAAAGTTCAACAAACAAAAAAGATATTGCCCCCTAACACTTAAGTTGCTATGTAGGGGTGCGAGGGAATCTGTCGCACAGAGACACTGAGACTAAACCGATATTAAATTATGCTTTAAGACAGAAATTTTGAAATGCAACTCCACATGAATATGGACACATGCTCTCCCGCCCATACTCCATTCACCTTAGTGAGTGAGTGTAAATTCCCTTGAACTGATACAGCCTCGTGATAATCTGTCAGGTTATTAAAATAGATGATTCGAGATGGAGCAAAGAGAAGATAATATTAGGTTTTAGCACAGCCTTAAGAAAAACATTGTATGAATGTTGTTTCTCTACATTGTAATACAGTCTATTCATGTTGTTGTATCCACAGAGCAACAACCGTTTCTTCTTGAGGTTTCCCACACAATTACATTGCAAATTGATTCACATAAAACTATACTACAAGTATTTTATTTGTCCAAAATTAGTGTTCATGTTGGCAGCTGCACTGTGTTTCTGATTGAGAGCTTTAAGCTGCTCATTCTTTGCTAATATGTACGAGTAATGATCTCACAGACTTAAAAATTTGCTGCTGGCCCCTGAACAGCATACTTCTGTTTCTGACTTGGCTGTTCTCATGAAGGTTGGACCAAACTGTGATTAGATATAGCTTGTGTTAGTTGATGTTTGTTGTTTGTTGTTTGCTGTTTAATTCTTTCATTGTATGCATGTAACACAGTTGAATTTGGGTTGTGACCAAATTGTGATTTCAAATCCCTCATACATTGTTAATAACTATCTGGCCTAAACAATTAAGCCTGGTCTTTCCACACATACCGACCCCAACCCGGACCCCCGTTGGATCATACAAATTAGGCCCGGGCTTGGGCCAAGATCTGAAAAAGACACCAATTTCCATCAACACCTTATATATATATTATTTTGGGAACGCCCTGGTTCTCAGTCTGGACTGACCTAAATGACTGTACTATAGAGAGAGAAATGCTTTGAAGTAATTAGTATAGAAGTATATTCAATAGAGATGGGTCTAATGAGACTATTTGCAACTGAACCACACTGTCATCTATTACTACTTCCCAAACTTTGATTGAAGTCAGGCTGTTTTTATTGGCTGCCAAGTGATTTTCAGAAGGGAATAATATTTTAATTCTGTGGTTATTTATATAGTTACATTTCTGGTGAAGTCAATAATTTATCAAGGCAATGATGGTTGGAGTGGGAAAGAGGGAAAAATTACATTGTGGACTCCCATGTGAGAAGAACAGGCGTTTCCTGATGTTTCTGTGGCCCCTCTATCCTGATGAGTCTGTAAAACCCACAAACGAATACTGTCCCTACATATTCCTATTATTAATGATAACGGTATTAGCCTTTGTCGAAGTTGGCCCTGAGGTCTGGGTTAGAGCCAGGTTTGAGGTTCATTAGTAATACCTTTGCAAAGAATGGATAATGGATTAACATTACAGAGAGTTGAATTGGTTTGTAACAAGTAATTTTAGACCTTACAGCTATTGATAAAATAAAATGTAAGAGTATAAGAACAACATTGGGAAGTATGGTTGCCAAAAGAACCACTACACTTGTGTAACTAGTTACAACTAGGAGGCCAAGGGAAATGCATATATCTACCACAGGTGAGTAGATAAGCCAACTTTTTGATTGATTGATTTTTGAAATTGCGAACATCACATTGTGCACTAGGATCCTTATAGTATAGTGAAGTGTGGGGGGGGGATATGTGTTAAACTAATGGCCTAGCAAAGGGTGAGTATGAGGACACAGGCCGATGGCACAATTTGGATCTAAGAGCACTCTATGGACTCGTTAGCCAGAGCACAGATTTAAGAGCTTTGTGAGCTCCTGACATATTTCTACTTCATTAGAATTTATACATCTAACTTCTGTCTTTCTCATTTTCCCAAACTGCATACTACTACTTTTTACGGTCCACTCCCTTTAGTGTTGTTGGACGCCAAGTTAATATAACAAGATATGGCTTTCATTCCAAATAATGACCCTGTGTTAACAAACAGCATTTAAAACTAAGTAGGGAGCTATAGACTTCAACAGTGCCAGCTAACAGGAAATTCTAGCCGAGCAGATTCTAAGACTCTGACAAAACTCTGACTGGTTCTGATTTTATTTTATTATAATTTTTTTTTAAATATATTTTTTCAAATATAAAGGCATATTTTATAGCACAAATACAACCAACTCTACAACATAGCATTTATGAGTGGAACATGACAGTGGCTCTTCACATGGTTTTCTGATTTTATTTTTTTTATTTCCCAAAAAAGTTGTAACGGTTCATCCCTGACACACGTGCACAAGCACATTAGGTCAAAACAATGTGCCCTTAGGGTTAGGCAGGCATGTGTTTAATATCCATTAAATGCTCTGCCCCATTTTTAGATGTGTGTAGAGTATAAGGGCGCTGAACCTTCTTATACACAGCATTCGACTGTGCTGAGTCGAGGTGGACACAACCACCTCAATGTTGTGTCCATTTATGCAGGAGATTCCTGTGAAAGTTCTTTGGTCTTAAATGCATTCTCACTGCAGTCCGTGAATGCCACTACCAGTTCCCTGATCTCTGTTCCATCCCCTCCCATCACACATGCCATCATAGCTGTGTCATCAGAGAACTCCTGAACGTGTCGATGTAGGTTGTGAAGAGAAAGGGGGCCAGTGCAGTCCCCTGTGGAGCCCCAGTATTGCTCATCGCTCTTCCTTAGACACTCCTCCCCAGTCTGACATGATTGTCCCGGTGATAGTGATAGTGCTTAGGTCCACTTCTTCCAGTTCCCCTAGGAGAAGCGGTTGTTAACTGACTCACGTTTTACACATCGCCTCACCGCTGTGTCCTCAATCAGAAGTGCGGACCATGGAGCAGTAAATTCAGGTTCCTGTATTTATGATGAACGTCGAGAATGATTGCCCACGCTGAATTTCTCTTGTGGCGAGTGACAGGGTTTGTGGACTCAGTGAATACAGGTCAGTTCACACAGTCTCTCTGTAGAGACTGAACTGCTGACATACTCGGCAAAAGGTGGGTCATACGTGACTCACGATTTTATTTTCAGACAGTAACTTAGAGGTGATGAAAGCGCTCAGAAATATTAGTGTATCAATGTTTTAATTATATGTCCCCTACACAAACCTGTATTTTTCATTTGTGCAGAATCCCGTCCTCTTTCCATTCCAATGAAAGTGATGCTTGAGAGTGCAGCTGTGGAGTCCTGGAGTGCTTCAGAAGAAAATGTGAAGGAGCTAATTTCTCAGGCTTGGGATGCTGTAAAGCGCCTTACTCTTCAGGTAATCATCATCCTCTCATATCTAACTCTTATGTGTGTCCTCCTATGTCTAACTCCTACTGTAAATGTTCTGATGCAACATAATTTGAGATACATTTTACGACTAGGTTACCTCAAGTTCCCCACAAGTAATTGAAAAAAGGCCGAGACCTAGGACTTTCATATGTGTGAATCGTTCACACGGGTCATTATGATCATTGCTTAATGGGAGAGGAAACACTGCACATGAGAACTGGCCTCATTGGAATTCCATCAGGAGCTACTGACATCTGTGCATCAGGACTTTGGCATATTGAAAGGTTTGCATATTTGCCTGCAAGCCCAACCATTTGTTGTCTTAGTGGCAAGTAGACATTATTTTATATTTAAATAATGAGGTCTTTTGTGCAAACATTTGACACTGGCATCACATATATTGTTGGATGAAACAAACAAAATAATTTAAACAATTTTACATTCATCCCTATTCCCTTTATTTGAAAGCAGTAATGACATGTGGATTTAATTCACGCTTGCCTTGTGTAATCTGGTTGAGATATTTACTGTACTTCAACAAAAGTTAACTCAACCCGTTAATGGTTTGTTTAGCCCGTCATAGCCTTAAATTTTTTGTTCCCGTCGGCTCTGTGACTACAGACCACACTGTACAGCACTGCAGTAATTAGGAAACAGTGTGTCCTGTTGACATGGGTGTTGAAGCCAACCAAACCTTGCAGGCCGACAGCTGGCACCTCAGGCCTTGGATATCCTGAATTTAAACCACTCAATTTATTTCTGGGAGTGTAAACAAAATACCTAATAGCTCACACTTCTTCTGCACATGTACTTAATTTGGCACAGACATCTTCTTTCCATCTTTTTCAAAGAAGTGAGAGTAGAAGTAAGGACTTGGTATCACTATGTTAGGGAAAGTTTACCAAAGCATTATTGTTGCACAGCTGCTGAGCTCCACTTTTGGACGTGAAAGTAGGGGTGGGAACCTAAGGGTACCTCACGATACGATACGATACACGATACAAAGCTCACGATAACGATAATATCACAATAACAATATCACAATATGACAATTATCGATATATTGATCAGAAATATACAATATGCCAATTTATGGCATAAATAAAAGAAAACATACTCTTTATTTCATGATAAATAGAATGGAGATGCGTAATGTAGCCATATATTAAGTATTGATACCAATTTAAAAAAAAAGTAAAAAAAAAAAATATATATATATATATTTTTTTTCAAAATCGATATCGATACTTGGCAAATGCATATCGATAATCGAATCGCGGGAGAAAGTATCGCGATATATCGAAAAATCGATATATCGTCACACCCCTACGTGAAAGTAGTGGTGAATTATACATTCTATTAGCACTCGTCAATGTTAACTGTAATTGTTTGTATGTTATCAGTGTAATCAAATTTGAATAATGCATCCTCAGTTGTCACACCAACTCTTTCTTGGGTCAAATAAAAGTCTCAGCCAAAGAAGCTGGGAAGACTTGCAGAGAAGAAGTATGGATGGTGTAATTGTTGCTGGCACATCTTATTAAGGCTCTGGAGCTATGTACATGTCTGTGTGGCCATAGTGGCCTGGCACTCCTCAGAATGTGTGACTATTCTCACTCGGTGTGCTGCATCTTCCTTCCTGCTATTATCAGGTTTCTCTCTCAGTACCACATGATCTTTGGCCAAAGAGCTCTGCTTTCTCTGCTCCATAATGCACAAATCAGTGCATTAATCCTCTGATTGCTTTTCCTCCATGTTCCTCAGAAGCTCTGATAATAATTGCATGTGATGAGGCTGGTGGTTCTATTTCAGGAATCTTGCTATAATTCCTTCTATTTAACACATGCATGTGTTCAACACTGGCAGAGCTGCTTGTTGCTACCAAAACTGAAACGGGATCTGCTGAAACAAAAAGGCTGTTACCATGGAAAAATGAAGTAAGTGTGCTCATTGCAGCTGCCATGCATTAATGGGAAAGATATATTTTAGTGAGAGAAGAGAGGAAACCAGTGGGGCACAAAGGTACAGTGACAGTGCAGGGGCAGAAGGTAAGTTTAGAGACACCCATAACGATCTGTGTAAATATGTCCAGATGGTTTTCATAAAAAGGATCTGACCCCTGACTGGCTTTGTAGAGCACATTACTTCATCTGCCCACTCCTTCAATACCTTTGCATTCAGCACACTGACCTCCTCCACTGCCTTTTTCATGTTGTCAACTGAAACACATTTACCAACAATACTTTACTGCAGGCTATAAATATCCAAACCAAGGCAGCCAGCACATCTGCCTTGAATATATCTACTATCACAAACGTATCTAAATACTGTATAATCAGAATGGGCATAGTGAATTCTTTGGAGTAGCCTTTTTGCCACTGCAACAAGCATAACTGATCATGTCCCTATAGACAAAAACAGTCTTCACATCACTAAACCTCCAATTTTGACAAACGTTTATTCATCTATCGCCCTAATCTTTCAGTGTTCTTTATCCCCTGTTCACTCTGAATGCTGCATGAAGGGAGGTAGACGTTTTTTTACTTTTATGCACCTTTTACTTCTATGCACCTTTTACTTCTATGTACTGTGCTGTAGACGCTGTAGACAGAAGTCCCTCAGGTTTAGTACTGGTGGTATGGTAAATGCACAATATAGCTTTAGACGCCCAATTTCTTTGTATTTTCAATGGGAAGCATGTGCTACACGTATGGAAAAAGCAGGATGGATTTTTGGTCAAAAGATGCAAATGACCTTTTTGGTACCTCGATTTTTAATAAATGTCTTGGTGATGCTTCCATAATTTTCTTTTACATTTCCTTTCCTTGGAAAATCTGGGCATCTCTGCTTATACTGCCACCCCCGTGACCAGAAGAAACGGCAACAGATAAAGCAGAAGAAACTTTTTTTTGCCTTGTTAGGAAATTGGGTTTAGTGTTGAATACAAACTGAACATATTTAATCATCCTGGGGTAATTAACTACCAGATTCAGATTCATTTATTTGCCATTTGCAGTAAAACCACATTGGAAAAACTGTGCAAGACTACCCCGGTGTGCACCAGACAGAGAAGACGACACACACCAGAGCTCTTGCCACGCCGCCATCTTTACGGTGCCTGATTAATCAGTTAATTGAAGTTTCTCACTATTTTCCTCTCCGTCTGTGTCCCCTGTATCATGTATGTCTTTCTGTTTTCTAGCATGTTTGATACTGGACATGTATGAGGAGACACTAACTATTGTTAAAATCACTTTTCTGCATGGTGCGTCTGTTTTCACAAACACCTCATATACTCAGAAGTTTGGCAGAAAATGGCTGGCAGTCGATGAGTTAATGGGCAGGATTCTCGACCAAAATAAAGGCATCTCGCCCTCCTGGTGGTATCTCGGTCTTTTTTACGATTGAGGATAGAGTATGAGATTAACAGACTGATTGGTTCAAGCTTGGGCCGGGACTTAAACACGTTAAGATTAATTAACGGCACAAAAATTATTGCGTTAAAAAAATTGACGCATTTTAATCGCATGTGTTTTTTTGCATCGCATTTTTGCATCCTTACTGGATGAGTTTCAAACGAACTGGATTGTACTGGAGCACCAACTCGAGCTCCGTGACTGTTCTTGTTCAAAAGTACATTATAACAAGCATAGACCAACTTTAGCGGTGTCTAAATCAGAGTGAGTTAGAGACGGAAAAGAGCGCTGTGTATGGAGCGATGGACTGTGTGTGTGAGGAGGAGGAGGAGTAGCGAGCGACTCCTGTGAGAGGAGGAGGCGGAGGTGTTTAAGCTGCTATGGCTGATGTTTTAGTTCAAATGCACACATCAAAAATGTATAAGCTTTAGTGCTCACTGCGAGTGCAGTGGATTTTGGGCTTAAAAAGTGTATGTTGTGGACAGAGTGTGTGGAGGCGATGACAGTTATTTGATGGGAAAGAAGTCCGTCTGATCCCCTTATCATCCACAATGAACATGTGTTGCTTAAGCTTATGTATTCAGTCATTTTTCAATGGTAAACTAAAAATCCATGTGAAAAAAAATTACTTCTCACTGTTCTCAGGAAATACTTATATGCGATTAAAATGCAATTAATTGCGATTAATTCATCACAAAGCCTCTAATAATTAGATTTTTTTTTTTTTATCGAGTCCCAGCCCTAGTTCAAGCATGTGAACTGATGCGGCCATATCGGACTGTTGTGTTGAAGCCTCTTCTACCTTCCTACCGTCACCTATGTTCATAAGCTTTGGGTAAATGACCAGATGAGAAAATACAAGCACTCAAAATCAATGTGCAAATTAAAAGGATTTGTTTTTTTTATGTACAGGATGATTTTTCAATTATCCTGTAATCCTATATTGCTTATTTTTTGTTCAGATATTGGGAAAACAGAAAATGTTTCATATCCCAGTGCTTATTTGCAGATTGTTGAGTATTCCATGTAGTTATGCACATTGTATATCAATCAAAAAGAAACCCTCATCCATTGGTATTTACTCCTTATAGATTGGTGGACGGCTAATTGTTTGAGATTGGGGGTAGAAAATTGAGTTGCAGGCAAGACGAGGCCAGACTCACTCCTAAGGCCATTGCTGCATCAATAAACGTACCGATCAAAGTCGCAATTAGCCCACCGCACTAACACAAACAGCTGGGCCAGCAGAAACAAACAAAGCCTTCATGTCACCTAAAGCGTTTATTTTTGCAGATTTCCACCTCAACGAGGGAGACCTCCTGTGCTTGTCAGCTTCTGTAAGCAGTGTTAGACCTGATGAATGCGGGCCACAAGGATGGCTTGGTGCCTGTGTGTGCCATGCCATTGATTACCGTTGCGGTAGCATATGGGTGAGATCTATTCTGATGTGTTGTCAAGAGGCAACGTGCTTGGATGCCTTTTTCATATAAACCAAAAAGGAAATGCATTTTTGAGAGCACATCTGTCTTGTCTCATCCTCACACACAAATTAATCATTGGAATTGAGATC